TGAATAGTTTTGATCATTGGAGCAGCCAGAGGAAAAACACAAAAGCTTTTTTCTTTCTTTTCACTCTTGGGCCACACCTGCTGATACTCAGGGATTACTCCTGGCTCTGCATTTAGGAATAACTCCTGGCAGTGCTCAGGAGACCATACGGGTTTCTGGGGACCAAACCTGGGTCAACCACAAGCAAGGCAAGAGCCCTACTCTCTGTGCTATCTTTTTGGCCCTAAACCACACAAACTTTAAAGAAAAACTCTTCCACTTTCACATAGTACCAGTACCAATTCTTATACTGTCTCCTGGTTCTCCCGCCTCTATGTTTGGGCAGACATTTTATATTTTCTGTCAATATGAATGCTACTCTTAAAAGACTGATGGGGAAATCGGAGGACAGAGTGGGTGACTGATCAAATGTGCTTACGATATATGAAAATCTCACAATTTACACTAAGCATCACTGACTTGCAACATTCAAGCCTTAGTTCAAAGCATTTAGAGAAAGGACAGATGATAGTTGGTCCCTTCATCACCCAGAGCAGGCTGTAATCCGGTGTAGTAATCAACTCTGACTACACTGTATGTTGCAAAGAGACGCAGCCTTAACCTTTCTATAGAAACAGGTTTTTTATTCGTTAAATGAAGTCCAAATAACCAAGAAGTCTTATTTGTTATGTTCATGGGTTTGTTTTATGCTGTAGTGTCTCGCTGTATGCACCACTTGATAAGACCATAGACCTGAATGATACTTTAGTCTCTTACTTCTACCAGTACTGAAGTAATGTGTATTCCTACAAGAAATACTACAATTGTAGAGAAGGTAGGGCACTGTCCTCAAATTCAGCTGACCTGGGTTCAATCTTTGTTATCTTATATGGTCCCTCCACCCCCACCCCTGCCCTGAGTATGACAGGAATGGTCCTGAGTGCAGAGCCAGGAGTAACTGCTGAGCCCTGCTGGGTGGGGCCAAAAAAAAAAAAAGCAAAACATAAATTCTATAATTAATGATACTTTTTTTTCACCATCCCTTCTCTTAGGTCCCTTACTTTGTGACCTACTGTGGAGTATAGAATACTCTTTTGATGAGAAAAACAATAGAAGAAAGGGTATCTGTGTTGGATGGGGGTGAGAGTCTGTATAAGTTATAGGATATCAACAGCCATTCAATTGTCCTGCCAGTTAGTGAAGCTGGTTATCTTAGCCCTTGCTCACACTGTGAGCGTAACACAGACCTGAGTGGAAAATAAATAAAAGTAAATAAATAAATAATAATTTAAAACGAACAGATCTGCGGGACCCAGAAGATAGTATAATGGGCAGTTCACTTGCCTTGTATACAACTGACCTAGGTTCAATCCCCATTGCCCCAACGATCTCCCAAACCTCACAGGGGCGATCCCTGAGCACAGCGAAATGTGTCCCCACCAAAAACTTAAATGAATTGAGAAAATAAATCTGAGCTAGGAACAGTGGGAGAGAAATACTGGCACTCTGGTAATGGGCATAGTAGAATTGAAAGTCAAGAATATGAATATTTGGGGCTGGAGCGATAGCACAGCGGGTAGGGCGTCTGCCTCGCATGTGGCCGACCCTGGTTCGATTCCCAGCATCCCATATGGTCCCCTGAGCACCGCCAGGGATAATTCCTGAGTGCAGAGCCAAGAGTAACCCCTGTGCATGGCCAGGTGTGACTCAAAAAGCAAAAAAAAAAAAAAATGAATATTTAATACCTATTGGGCTGGAGCGATAGCACAGCGGTAGGGCATTCGCCTTACAAGCGGCCAACATGGCCAACCCGAGTTCGATTCCTCCGCCCCTCTCGGAGAGCCTGGCAAGCTACCGAGAGTATTCGATATGCCAGACACAGTAACAACAAAGTCTCCAATGGAGACGTTACTGGGCCCACTCGATCAAATCGACAATCAACGGGAGGGCCTTTACCTTTCCCTTTACCTTATTGTAAAGTAGGAGAATTCAATTTTTTAAAAATCTTCCAGGAGTTTTAGGGGCCATGACTTCAATGCTCAGGGGTTACTTCTGGCTCTGCACTCAGGAACCACTTCTGGCAGTGCTCTGGGGACCATATGGGATGCTGGGGATTGAACTCTGTTGGCCATATGCAAGGCCAGCACCTTTTCCCCGTACTATCTCTCCAGCACCTTCAATAAAAAATTTTTATTAAAAAAAAATTTTAGAACAAAAATTACATGTATGTAAGCACTACTGAAAAACTGATGGGAGAGTTAGTTAAAAAGAAGAGCAGTGGGTCCTGGGATAAGAGTTCCTGTCTTGCAAACCTGGGCCAGGGAGGTCACCTCAGTCCACTGGCCGGCCTGCCCCCTCTCCATCCCTTCCTGCCTTAGACCTTTGAACAGCCCCCAGTGAGTGTGAGCTGCAACCAGGCATCGACCTCTGTCCTCACAGACACAATAGGAAATGGGAGATTTTTGAAAGCAGTTGTATTTCATTTAATTTTTTAAATAAGGAAAGTAGCAGTGGCACGCAGGAGTGAGAGTTTGGTGGGGAAATTGTATGTACGGATACGCAATGCCAGGAACCAGGTCTTCTAGCCTGCTTTACCGTCCCAAGATCAAGTCCACTACCGGACTAAGGAATAGCACTGGTCAATGTTTTGTGGAGGAAGGAAGGAAGGGCTTCTCACTCCTGGTCTGAGACCATACGGCTAGCCAGTGAGTTGTAAGCCACCACAATGGGGTGATCAGTTGCAGGAGCTGAGAGATAGGTACCCCACAATACCTTTATTTGTACGAATACAATGAGCTTTCTACAAATACCTCTATCAGGTAAAGAGCACCCAACACAGTACGTTGATACTAAAATAAGGTAAGTGAGACAATTCCGACATTTCAGCGTCTTTCTTTTCTTTGCTTGTTTGTTGATGTTTCTGTTTGGGATCCACACTTGGTGGTGTGCCAGGTCTAAATTTGGTAGGGGTCGCGGCTGTTTACAAGGCAAGATGGTGTATCTCCTGCACTATCTCCGCAGCCCCACCCTTCTGAATGAATGTAAGTAAATTTTAAGTCTACATACTGGTAACAGAGTTTAAGAATTCACTTGCCTGGCCAGGACTCGGTTCAAGTAGTACAACATAAGCGCGGCATGTACCTCGGAGGCCCCCTGTGGCCCCTGCGCTGCTCTGCACGTGGCCCACGTGGCCCTGGGCACTGCGGAGAATGCCCCCATTGCAGTCCTAACTAGGGGGCGTGTGTGTGCATCGCTCACGGGGCTCAAGGACCTTAAGCGATATAGGGAATTTGCTCTCAGTTTCCAACTCTGTCCTAGCTCCGTGTGTGTGTGTGTGTGTGTCTGCGTGTGTGTGCAATGCTCACAGGGCTCAAGGACTGTAAGCAATATAGGGAATTTGCTCGCGCCTTCTAACTCTGTCCTAGCTCCGTGTGTGCTTGTGTGTGTGGGTGTGTGTGTGTGCAATGCTCACGAAATTTGCTCGCAGTTTCCAACTCTGTCCTAGCTCCGTGTGCGTGTGTGTGTGTGTGTGTGTGTGCAATGCTCACGGGGCTCAAGGACTGTAAAGCAATATAGGGAATTTGCTGGCAGTTTCCAACCCTGTCCTAGCTCCGTGTGTGTGTGTGTGTGTGTGTGTGCAATGCTCACGGGGCTCAAGGACTGTAAAGCGATATAGGGAATTTGCTGGCAGTTTCCAACTCTGTCCTAGCTCCGTGTGCATGTGTGTGTGTGTGTGTGTGTGTGTGTGTGTGTGTGTGTGCAATGCTCACGGGGCTCAAGGACCGTAAGCGATATAGGGAATTTGCTGGCAGTTTCCAACTCTGTCCTAGCTCCGTGTGCGTGTGTGCGTGTGTGTGTCTGCGTGTGTGTGTGCAATGCTCACGGGGTTCAAGGACCGTAAGCAATATAGGGAATTTGCTCACGCCTTTCAACTCTGTCCTAGCTCTTTGTGCGTGTGTGTGTGTGTGTATGTGTGTGTGCAATGCTCACGGGGCTCAAGGACTGTAAAGCAATATAGGGAATTTGCTGGCAGTTTCCAACCCTGTCCTAGCTCCGTGTGCGTGTGCGTGCGTGTGTGTGTGTGTGCGTGTGTGTGCGTGCGTGTGTGTGTGTGTGTGTGCAATGCTCACGGGGCTCAAGAACCGTAAGCGATATGAGGAATTTGCTCGCAATTTCCAACTCTGTCCTAGCTCCGTGTGCATGTGTGCGTGTGTGTGTGTGTGTGTGTGCAATGCTCACGGGGCTCAAGGACTGTAAAGCGATATAGGGAATTTGCTGGCAGTTTCCAACTCTGTCCTAGCTCCGTATGTGCGTGTGTGTGTGTGTGTGCAATGCTCACGGGGCTCAAGGACTGTAAAGCGATATAGGGAATTTGCTGGCAATTTCCAACTCTGTCCTAGCTCCGTGTGCATGTGTGTGTGTGCGTGTGGGTGTGCAATGCTCACGGGGCTCAAGGACTGTAAAGCAATATAGGGAATTTGCTGGCAGTTTCCAACCCTGTCCTAGCTCCGTGTGCGTGTGCGTGCGTGTGTGTGTGCGTGTGTGTGCGTGCGTGTGTGTGTGTGCGTGTGTGTGTGCAATGCTCACAGGGCTCAAGAACCGTAAGCGATATGAGGAATTTGCTCGCAATTTCCAACCCTGTCCTAGCTCCGTGTGCGTGTGTGCACGCGTGTGTGTGTGCGTGTGTGTGCAACGCTCCCGGGGCTCAAAGGACCGTAAGCGGTCACAGCGCATTTGCTCGCGCCTTCCAACTCCGTCCTAGCTCTGGGGTGGCCCCACCGGAACGCGAACAATCCGGGGCGTTGTTCTCTTGGCGGGGGTCGAGACCCGAGCCTTCCCACGGGGTCGGCGACTCCGGGATGCGGCCGCCCACCCGCAGCCGCACAGCCCGGGCGAGGAGGGGGCGTGGCGCCGCGCCGGAAGTGGCCGGGGGCGGGGCCAGGGGCGGTCTTCCGGCGGGGCGGCCGAGGCCCCGCCCCCTCCCTTTAAAAGGCGCGGCCGGCGGCGGCGGCGGCGGCGGCGGCGGGCGGCGGCCGCGATGCTGAGAACCTGCGCCGGGCGCCTCGGCGCGCTCCGGGCCCTGCGCGGTCCCCGGGGCTGCGCGCACCTCCCCGAGCCGGAGCCGCGGGTGAGTGGCGGCGCGGGAGGGGCTGCGGGCTGGGTCCGTTTCCCCGGGGGTGTGACGCCGCGAGCGGAGTGCCAGCGTGCAGGGCGAAGGCCAGCGGGCATCGCGCTGCTGGACTCCCGGTGCAGCGCTGCCCCCGGGCAAGGTCACGGAGACCTCGTGATGGGCCGAGCTGTCGGGACCGGCCCCGCGCTCTTTGCCCTCCCCGCGAGAGCCCGGTGGCCTGCAAGGGTTTGACTGGGGTCAGCTTGCACATCGTTGTTGTTGTTTTCGGTTGGGGGCGGCCACTGCCCGGCCGGTGCTCAGGACTTGGCGCCTGGCTCGGTGCTCGGGGAATCACTCCTGGCGGGACTCAGGGGGTTGAACCCGAGCTGGCCACTTGCAAGGCAAACGCCCCGCCCCGCTGTCCGGCCTCTCCAGACCCTTCACACCTTGCAAGTTCTTCTCTAGGATTTTAATAAGGCGAGAAAGTGTCCAACGGCAGAAGCAGTGGCTAGTTTGTAACGAGTAAATGTTGCCTCTTCTTGTATCTCCCAGTGTTTCGATGAGGCATGGATGTGTCGGTTTAATGTTAGCTGAGCCCAAGAACATGCCATGCATTTCATTGATGGAAGGAACATGCCTTTCGAGGATCTCAGTATTTGTCCAGCCAGAGAGAGAGACAGACAGACAGCATTGATGGAAGGAACATGCCTTTCGAGGATCTCAGTATTTGTCCAGCCAGAGAGAGAGACAGACAGACAGACAGACAGCATTGATGGAAGGAACATGCCTTTCGAGGATCTCAGTATTTGTCCAGCCAGAGAGACAGACAGACAGACAGACAGACAGCATTGATGGAAGGAACATGCCTTTCGAGGATCTCAGTATTTGTCCAGCCAGAGAGAGAGACAGACAGACAGACAGACAGACTACTAGGGGTAAGGCAATCCCCTCCCCTGTGGCTCCCATTGCAGTTAGACCCAAGGCACCACCACCCCCTCCCTCCAGCACCTCCAGGTGTTATCCCTGAGTAGTGACTAAAATAAGTCACCCTGAAAAACAAAAAAAAGTCTTATTCTCTAGCATGGGCATGGAAGAAAGGAACGAACTTGCAAGATTAAAGAACATGTGTATGATGTTCTACCTGGAGGAACGGAAGGGACCGACTCAGTATTGGGCAAGAACTGAAGGCAGCCCTTCAGGAGTGAGTGGGAATCGCTTGGTAGTCTTGTATCATCTTGCACTGGGGAAAGAAAATGACCCTTACTGATCTCACTACAAAGGTAATCTCTTTAATTATAGGTGGGTGCCTTGTAATCTGCCTTAAGAAAGCCTGCTAGTTGTAATTATGGGCTTTGTCATTTTCTCTTTAGGAACTGAGTCTTAGAAGTAGTCCCGTGAAAGTCATAACTTCACAGGTCCCAGGTGAAAGACACATAACCAAAGACCAAGCAAGGCCTTTGCTCTGCCTGGATCAGTGGCATTTCTAACATGTTTCTTTTGTAAAGTCTGTTTTCCTCAATGTACAAGGGCCTTTATTTGAAGGATCTCTTAGTTGTTCTTCTTGCATGAAAGCATTTGTTTTTGGTTTTTTGTTGGTTTGTTGAGGGGATTTACTCTTGATTCAGTGTTTGGGGTCCACTCCTGAACGCTAAGGGAACAGTATGGTGCTAGGGATTGAACCCAGGCCTTCTGCATGCAAAGCATGTGCCCAGATCTACTTAGGCTGAAGAGATAGGACAACTGAGGGCACTTGCCTTGCATGCAGCTAACCTGGATTCGGTCCGCAGCACCTTATATGGTCCCTGAGCCTTTCAAGAGTGATCCCTGAGTCAATAAGTAAAATAGCAGAAATCCAAAACCAACATATAATTCTTGAACCCAGCTGTAGAAAGCAAATCACTTCACAATGCTTTGTCAGCATGTCTGATTCGGGGGGGGGGGGGGCGGTAAACTCTAAATAATAGTGGTGAATCTTTTATTGAAACAATGAATCTAATCAAAGCAGATAGAGTGTTAACTAGAATTCATCTGCCCCACAGGGACTGGGAGGGGTGGGGGGTGGGGTTTTATTGGGGTTCTTCATGGTAAAAAATAAGTTTTGGTAAAGGGAAATGTGCTTGATATTTGCATGACTGAGACCTAAACCTGAAAGCTTTGTAACCTTTCCCATGGTGATTCAATAAATAAATAAATTAATTAAAAAAAAAAGAGTGATCCCTGAGTGCAGAGCCAGGAATAAGCCCTGAGCATCATTGGGTCTTCCAAAAGGATGAAAACAAATAAGCAAAAGCCAAAATCATCCCTTCTCTCCACTCTCATCCTCAAAGCCAGACTCTGGACTCTTTCAGGCCTCTTCTGTGGGTGCGGTTATCCATCACTTTGCACATGCCTTGGTTCCAGTCACCTTACCGGCTATTAATTCTTATTTTCATTCTTCCCAACCTGGTTCAATTCCTGAACCATTCCATCAGCCCTTTTTAGGAGTAGGGGTGGGCAATTTGGGGCCACGCCTGATAGTGCTTGGGACTTATTCCTGCCTCTGCCCTTAGAGGTTGTGCTGGCTGGTGGGAAACTACATGTGGTGCCAGGGATTGAACCTTGATGGCAGCAGACAAAGCAAGCACCTGACCTCCTGGCCTATCTCTCCAGCACCTCTCCGACAATCCTTTTTATTTGTTTGTTTTTAATCCTTATTCAGGTACTGTGCTTTATAGTACATGATGATTTCTTTTTTCTTTCTTTTTTTTTTTTTGCTTTTTGAGTCACACCTGGCGACGCACAGGGCTTACTCCTGGCTCTGCACTCAGGAGTTACTCCTGGCGGTGCTCAGGGGACCGTATGGAATGCTGGGAATTGAACTCGGGTCGGCCGCGTGCAAGGCAAACGCCCTACCCGCTGTGCTATCTCTCCAGCCCCGATGATGATTTCTTGATTACAGCATTTGAACACCATACCCCACCAGAGTACCCATTTCCCTCCACCATGATCAGTCATTTGGACCAGCTCTCCAGTTCTGTTGCCCTTGGTCACTTGTTGCTGCTCCCTTACTTTAAATATCTTTACCTCCCACATATGAGAACCATCATTCTGCATCAAGCCCTTGTCCTTAGGACTGACTTCACTTAGCTAATATACTCTAGCGCCATTCATGTGGCTGCAAATTGCATGATTTTGTTCTTTATTAGAGCTGCATAGTGTTCCATTTGTGTGTGTGGACACAGTTTCTTGATCCAGTCATACATAGTTGGACATTTCCATTGTTTCTGTATCTTCACTATTGTACTAAACACTGTGAAGAACAGAGCTGTGTACATATCCTTTTGAACTAACATTTTGGGGTAGCTGCTATGAAGTGGTATCACATGGAAAAAAATTTTTTTGAGAAACGTTCATATTGCTTGCCATAGAGGTTAAACCAGATGACATTCCCACCCATGGTGAATGACGAGGGTTCCTTTCTTACTGCAGCTGTGTCAGTATTGACCGTTACCGCGCTTTTTGGTGTATGCCATTTTCTCTGCTCACTGTCACTGTCACTGTCCTCCCATTGTTCATCGATTTGCTCGAGCGGGCCCAGTAACATTGTGAGACTTGTTACTGTGTTTTGGCGTATCGAATACGTTACGGGCAGCTTGCCAGGCTTATGAGATGACATCTCATTGTTATTTTGATTTTTGTTTTCCTAATTATAAGTGATGATGAGCACTTTTTCATATGGCTGTTGATCATCTGTATTTCTTCTCTGGGGAAGTGTCTTTTCTTTTCTCCCCATTCCTGTATGGGGTTGTTGGAATTTTTTGTTGAGCTTTTTGAGTGCTTTATAGATCTTGGGTACTAGTTCTTTATCTGATGTATTGTTTGCAAATATTTTTTTCCCTTTCAGTAGAGTGTCATATTTTAGCTTGAGTTTCTTTTGCTATGCAGAGATATTTTATTTGATGTAACCCTATTTGTTTATTTTTTTTTTTTGGTTGTCATTGCTTCTGTCATTGCTTCATCGGGCTGGAGCGATAGCACAGCGGGTAGGGCGTTTGCCTTACAAGCGGCCAACATGGCCGACCCGAGTTCGATTCCTCCGCCCCTCTCGGAGAGCCTGGCAAGCTACCGAGAGTATTCGATATGCCAGACACAGTAACAACAAAGTCTCCAATGGAGACGTTACTGGGCCCGCTCGAGCAAATCGACGATCAACGGGAGGGCCTTTATCTTTATCTTTATCTTATTGCTTCTGTGGTCATCTTGTGAAGACACCTCTATGGTACATTTAGGGCTGTTGTATCTTTACTGATATTCTGTCTGGTTGATCTGTCTAGTGGTGGGAGAGGAGTGTTGAAATCTCCCACTACTATTGTGTTTCCATCATTGTGTGTCTTTAGGTGTGTTATAGGCAGCTTTATAAACTTTCATGATTCGTTGTAGATACATATGTGTTGATAAGAGTTGGTACTTATCTACACAATGAAATACTATGCAGCTGTTAGGAAAGATGAAGTTAAGAAATTTGCTTATAAGTGAATGGCCATGGAGAGTATCATGCTAAGTGAAATGAATCAGAAATAGAGGGACAGACATAGAATGACTGCACTCATTTGTGGAAGATAAAATAACATAATAGGAGACTGACAGTCAATGACAGTAGATACAAGGGCCAGGAATATTGCTCCATAGTTGAAAGCCTTTCTCATGAGCTGGGCAAAAAGGCAACTTGAGTAAGAGAAGGGATCACTAAGTCAGTGATGGTTGGAGGAATTGTTCAGGATGGGAGATGTGTGCTGAAAGTAGAAAAAGGACCAAACATGATAGCCTCTCAGTATCTATATTGCAAATCATAATGCCCAAAAGTAGAGAGAGAGTATGGGGGAAATTCTCTGTCATAGAGGCAAAGGGAGGGTTGGGAAGTGAGGGGGTGGGTATATTGGGGATATTTCGTTATAGAGAATGTGTACTGATGGAGGGATTGGTGTTTGATCATTGTATGACTGAAACTCAAATATGAAAGCTTTGTTAACTGTATCTCA